GGCTGGACATGGAAATATTCTATATAGTGTTTGTGCAGTTCGTAATAATGAATTGCAGCATTTCCTATCTTACAGGGAGAATCTGCTATTTGTAGCAGAATAGCACCATCTTCCAATGTCTTTGGAAATGTTCTTGTTTAGTTGCCAACTGTATCGGAACAGCTCTACAATTTAGCTTTATCAATGCTGACTGTGTTTTAATATATAATGTTAAAAGGGAGGTTGCATTTTATAGTAACTTTTTAAATAAAGTTTCATTTATTTGTCTATCTCTCAAGGACGGGAGGAAGGCCTCAATCATATGCCTCAATGTTACACAACTAGCAATATTGCAATATTGAAATTCTTTTGCTTTTTGTTTTCACATTTTAATTGGCAAAAAAATTGTAAGATAGTTTATGGGTGGATATCAGGGGAAATCATCCTGGGATTAGACAGAGGCACACGGAACTATCAAGCTCCAGTGCAGAGGCAGGGCCTGGATGTGAAACTTGAAATGGCTTCCAGAAGGTTGTTTAAAGCCTCCAGCCTTCTACCTTATCGGCTCAGCAACACCTTGCAGACAATTCACTGATAAACTGAAACATTTTAAAAAAAACAAGGCCTTACAGACAGCCCCAAAAGGTGCAGTTGTCAAAAAGAATTCTAAAAAAAATGTAGATTTGTGAAGGGTAACAAAGAAGAGCTAAATTTTCTTTTCTCATTAAATTTCACCAAGATTCATTAATTGTCTCAAAGTCAGTTTAACAATAGCAACAAACAGAATATTGCAGAACAATCTAATATAGTAGAGTTCATTTGGGACAAAAAATATCACATCTCTCTCTTTTTTGTTGTTTGTTTTAAGCTGGTCTAAATTTCTATCTCATCTGGGAGCATAAGAGTCAGTTATCACACCCCACCAAGGCCCATTTGGGGACATTTCAAGACTGAAAGTTCTAGGAAACTTGGGGGCAAGTAGACAATGTGTTGAGTAGGATCTAGTGGCCTTTGGGGACTAATGGCTTTAGCATCACAGGAAGGCAAACTAATATTCTTGTTGCAGAGGTGAAATTTTTAGATGTTTAAAACCTTTCTAAGTCTGATCTTTTCTTCTCTCAGATCATCTTTGAAGGTGTCCGTGGAACAGGTTCTGAGGGAGATATTGCTATTGATGATGTTACTCTGAAAAAAGGTGATTGTCCAAGAAAGCCAATTGTCCCAAATAAAGGTAATTATACTTGATGAATTGTATGTGTCACTGCATCCCAAGTTCAAGGGGAAAAAAATTGGGAAAGCTATGTACCATATATTAATCAACATGTGTGTTTACATATAATAATATACTTATACATAATAAGAATATACTTATTGATAATCAGCATATACTTGTTCAGAGAGACATAGACATTATTGGCTGCAATGTATCAAGCTCATTTAATTTATTGTAATGTCCCACGTTAATGTTGATGCCCAACATGGTTCTTAATTTCCTAGGTACAGAAAATAATGAAATGTTTATTATTCCTCAGTCTCTTTGATAAATTTGTTACCAAAGAAGTTGAAATTTTAGAATCTACAGACCCAGGAAAATGGTGATTGTAGCATAGCTATAGCATACAAAACAAAATAATATTATTCAATAATAATACGCATAAAAAACTATGATGATGGATGGATGATGGATGCATTGATTTTTATTATGTAGTCTGAGACAGAGATGTCTTCCTAAATTATAAATACATTTTCCCTGGGTATACTTTTTTCAGATTTTCCCACCTATCCTATGCCAAGGGCAACAGAATTAATGTCAGGGAGGAAACTATTCTTTTCACTTTGAGAAGTATCCTTAATCGATATATTTATTTGAAGCAGAACATGGTTAGATTATTTTGTGAAGTTCGGCTTAATGGAGAAAAGGAAACACTGGGCCATCTATAATAATATGTATGTAGGATGTCCAGAATTAATCCTTGGCATTTCTAGCTTAATAAAACAAACAAGCAAACAAACAAAAAATAGGATCAGGTACCAAATGACAGGAAAGTGATCTTTCTGCATTAGATCCCAGAAAGTCTTTATTTGTTCAAAAAGGCACTGTTGAGTGATTGAACAAATCACAGGATCATTAATTTGGATGAGGCCATCACATCCAACCTCTGTGCTCAATGCAGGAATTTCAGATTAAACCATCCCAGAAAAGTGGCTGTCTAATTTCTGTTTGAACCTATCTGAAAAGGGGAGCTATCTCCTTTCTGGATAATTGCTTCCACTGTCAAACAGAACTAAATGTTAAGAACTCTTTTTCTAATGTTTTACTGGAATATGACTTCTTGTCAGATCTCATCCTTTATTTTGCGTACTGCACTCTGGAATGAGAGAGGACAGATCCTGATGTTTCTCTACGTGACATCTTTTCAGGCATTTGAAGAGTACAGCCACATCCCCTCCCAAACATCTTTTCTCAAGGCAAACATGCTATCCATCTTCTTTAGAAGGCTTAGTTTCTAGTCCTCTGATCATCTTTCTTAGCCTCCATTGATCCCATCCCACTGTTTCGGAATCCTTCTTAAAGTGTGGATATAGTACAGGTGTTATATGACCAAAGAAGAATATAGTTATTACCTAGCCTTTTATGAGGAAGCTTTCTACATTAGTTCATTGACCATTGTCCTTGGACAATATTTTTAATACTTGTTCTACTCTTCAAAGTATGGATTTGTTTTTATAAAAAAATCTGAAAGAGAGACAAAATCTAAACATATCTTTTATTTTAGATGTCTAGTATGGCCAATAACATCTAAAACACATTAGTTTCTGAAATATTCAGCTTGCACAGTAAAACTAGACATTTAGGATTCTACGTGTCTTCTTGTTTTCATGTGATTTTAACTTTCAGTACAGGTAGTCCTCAACTTACAACAGTTCATTTAATGACTGTTCAAACTTACAATGGCACTGAAAAAAGTGACTTACGTCCGTTTTTCACATTACAACCTTTATAGCATCCCCATGATTATGTGATCAAAATTTAGATGCTAGGTGTGCATACTTATGACCATTGCTGTGTCCCAAGATCATGTGACCTTTTGTGACCATATGACAAGCCAAGTCAACAAAGAAGCCAGATTCACTTAACAACCATCTTACCAGCTTATCAACAGTAATGATTCACTTAACAACTTTGGTAAAATTGGGCAAAACTCACTTAACAAATGTCTCGCTTAACAACTGAAAGTTTGGCTCCGATTTTGGTTGTAGGGTAAGGACTACCTGTACATCCAATTATTTTGTTTTGGTGGGTATAATTTTGGAATTCTTGAGATTATCCTTTCATTCCACAGTCATTTGTTTTGCAAACCATTGATAATTTTCATGAGATAACATTTTTTCTTTCTTTCCCTACAGCAGTTGCCCTTCCAGGAAATTCTGCTGTCACCCAACACACATCTTTTCTCTGCTGGCCGCTACTTTTCTTTCTTTACGTGCTGCTCAGATGATAGCAGTGAATGCTCCCATTGTCTGAGACATTCCTCCTCCTTTCCTACTTGGTCACCCTCTGCTCCTCTATCTCCCCCTCCTCACTGGCACACCAAAGTGTCCATATGTTACCAAAGACTAACATGCATGACTACGCAAAAGGGATCCAGCTAAGAACCTAAGGGATTCCTGGAGGAAGTCATACTGTCTAAAAACAAAATATATATAAATAAAGAAGAGAGAAAAACAAACACATGAAAGAAAGAGGGAGGAAGCAACGGAAAGAAGAAATGGAAGCAAAGAATGAAAGGCAATGCTGAGGATGAAAATGATGTTTAAAAGGATCAGTGGAATGGAGGAAGGCATGTTCCTTTAAGAACAGAGGACAAGACTTCCTCAGGGAAGTAGGAACTTTTGTTTAAAACAAAAACAAAATATACTAAAGCACAAATTTCTACCAGAACTGTTACCTTCTTGGCTGCAGAACCACAGTTTAGAAGACATTCTAGCATACACAGTGCCATCCTTTGGAATCTCTGTGTTAAGACTTCTCCCTTACCGGTTTTGCCTACAACCTGTCTACTGCAGCACCACCTCCTCATACTTCTCCCACTCATCTCTGGTGACCACAGAACCTTGTCCTCATTTGCATGTACTTCTGAGTCTTCATATGCGTTTTTAAGACTCTCATGTATTTACTCGTCCATCTATAAATTTGCCTTGACCCATCCATCCCCAACTTCAATTCAGCAAAGCAAAGAGATAGACCTCTTGTGGATTACGGAGATGAATGGAGAAATCTAGGGCAAACATAAGCTGCAGGTTCAGCTGTTGACATCCTTCACCTACCCATCTCTTTTCTCTTTTTTCAGGCTGCTCACTTCTCTCCTTTAGTACTTTTTTTTTTCTACCATCCCAGAGACAGATTGTCAATACAGCACAGAGACTAAAAGAAAAGGCTTCTTGTTTGAGGACCAAAGTAAAGAAGCTGAGTAGTGACACTGCAGTCAGTTACTATCAAAGCATGAGCTTCAGAAGCCTTAAGGCAAGGATTTCCTCCACCTTTTGCTGTTGTTGTTGTCATTGCTGCTGCTGCTAATTTATCTATTTCCTTTTAGTAATTCAGGCCTTACAGCCCCACTTCTTCTTTTTTTTAACTACAAGGGGAGTCATAAAGATGCACCCTTATAACATCTGAAATTGCAATATTTCCTTGTCGGTTGTAGTACCTATTCTTGACATACTATTAATCAAAGATGCTGCTACCATGGTGCTTGATTTGCTATTGAAGGATTGGATAGCTGTATGGCAGCTGCACAATAAGGTGATAGACAAATGGAAGCAGAAAATAAAACTGTCCCTACATAAAGGAAGCAGGATAGGCAGGCTGTTATAGTTTTGAAGAAAAATATAGAGGTAGTCCTTGTTTAGTGATCACAATTGGCATCAGCACCTTGGTTGTTAAGCAAATGATCACTAAATAAATTGGCAACTGTGCTTATAAACTGACATCAGCTTTGCTTTACAGGCCTGTGAAGGTCAGAAATGGGAGGATAGATCACAAAGGTTGTAACTGCAGACTAACTTCATGAGGCAGTCACTAAACAAAGACTACCTATACTTAGATTTCATTCAGTGCAGAAAAACAGAAGAAAAAACACCCACTGTTTCCAGGGACATCACATTACCACTGTGAAAGGAATGTTTTCTCAGGAAAGCCCAACTTGCACTTGGTAGTCCTGACCCTGCAAGATCATTAAAGCCAACTCTAAATCATTATATAAAGAAGAACCAGTTTACCTATTAGGGAGACATCACTACAGCAATGACATACTCTGCATACATCTTAATGGGTCCCTAAGACTTCCAGCAGCATAAGTTTTTTTCTCCATCCAGTCTTCCACACCAAGTTGCTACCAGACTCGCTGGACTATAGTTGTCATGATCTTCAGCTGGTCGCCCTCTTCAAGCTGGTGTTTTCGGCTTCATCCTTGTGCGAATAAGGCGTGGTTGGAGCTGTCATCTTTCTATGAATCTTGGTGGGGGTGTGTGGAGTGCTGGCTTTGTTGCTGTAAGTGGGTTGATTGGCTGTGTAGTTGCATCCTGATTGGTAGATGGAGTTGATGTTTGTAGAGAAGTGAGCTGTTTCGTAGCATCCTGTGTGGCTGAGGTGCTGTCTGTCTGTCCGTTGTTCTTTTGTGTTGTAACGT